TTTTTCAACATGGAATTTCTATTCAAATAGAATATCTGATGTAATTTTTACTGCTCTTGCTAATGATATATTCAATAATAAAATTAGATAAATATTATGGGAATTACGTCGACCACAAGTTATTCTATTGAATCATATATTATAACGAAAATTTCAACATAAAACAGGCGAGCAACAGTGTGAAAAATGAGCAGTTGAATACTTTTGAAAAAATGAAAAATGGTAAGCTATGATTCTATTGTCAATAAATCTTAACAGATCAATGAATTGCTCTAAAATTTTTTTCTTCTAATATATTAGAGACTATAGGATGTAATCTGAAGAAAACCAGATAATCCTAGCTCATCCAGTTTTTGAGATATACACACAAGAATATAAAATTATCTATTACACAGTTAAATAATCTTGATACTTACTGTATATACTGAACGTTTAAACAGACCCTATAATGCTATTATATTTCATCATTCTTCGGTTGATATGATGATACAAGAGTTTTGATCAAAGTTGTTCACTTCTGAGTTAGATAGATATGAAGAACTTTCGTTTCTACAGTAAACTTCATACTGCCCTATATATTCAAGTGAGAATTGTTCATCAAAAACTGTATTTTGTTTTTTGACGTCTAGCTCTTAGAACAGTTGAAGGATGATATGAATAGTTTCATGAAGGTCGAAAAAACACGTTGAAGATGAACTAGCCGTAATCTTCTGAAGTTTACGATATTATTATTAATAAGACAATGAATTTGTTCGAACTTTTCTGATGTTACCTGATGACAGCTACGCCTGATCATGTTCCGTCTTAAACATATTCTCGATTTTCAACTGTTTTGAGAGATGAAAATTGGTTACCAAAGATAAAAAACAGTACAGCATGGACTTAATTTAAATTTTAAAATCACCTTCAAATTTGGAATACGGTGTCATTAGAAGGACGAGACAATGTTATTTCGAATTATTATAATTTTTAGCTGCAACGATCTGTTGCAGATATAAGTAATACCTTCAACATCAGTGGATCAGCCGGACGCAAGCAGGATCGAGCAAACAAATGAGGCACGACAGTAACTCAGAAAAAAACAAATTGTGTTTTTCAATCCATTCAGCAATAACAGTTGCACACTCGTGTACAAGAAAAAAAAAAGGATACACTTTTCTTCATACTCTTGTACTGATGAGATACTGTCCACGTGTAAGGGAAAACAGAACAAAATAAAAAACAAAAAGAAAATAACGATAAAAGAAACATGATTCATTGCACAGCACATGTATCACATTCATTTCATTAATCGTATACGTAAAAAGATACATTCAGAAAGGAGAGCCAATTGCTCATTGAAAAACAGCAAGAGATATGATCTTAATTTGGATACGTTCGAATATATCAGAGTCTTTCGATAATATTGTTTATTGTCCAATTTTATTGTTCATGCTAAGATGTGGGTGAGAGTAGGGTCAGAGTGGACCCATAAAAACAATGTTTGCTTCTTTTGTCTAAGACTAATTGAAGGAAATGGGTCAGAGTGGAATCTCATGAATGGAGAATTTTATGCTCTATTGATCGGTACTATCTTCGAATTAAACGGCGGTCAGAGTGGGTGAGAGCGTATTTTATTTTACTAATACCCAAAAGTGATATAGTAAAACATTTTATGCAAGAAGGTTTTAAAAGATCAACAATTTATAATATAATAAAACGCTATGATATTTATCTAATATTCGAAGATCGTCCAAGGAGTGGTCGTCCAACACATTCTGATAAGAAAAACCTGAAGCGTCTACAGTATACTACTGAAAATCGTGTTGGAGTTAGTCAAAGAGAATTAGCAAGAAAATTTGGCGTTGCACAATCAACTATTCATTATAATTTGAAGAGAATTGATCTTAAATATTCTAAACGTCAAAAGGCACCAAAATATACGAAAAGACAACTTGAGGAAATACCAAAAAAATGTCGAAAAATAAGACGCCAGATGACAACAAAAAGGTAAATTTACAGTCCACGAAAATTCAATTTCCCCACTTCAAGTTTTGTTTTTTATTTCTATACGTTTTGTATCTATTAACCTACCATATATAGGAAGAAAGCCCAGAACGCGCTGCATTTTTTGGTATATTTATATTGAACATCAAATGCGGTTCGAAATGTAAACAGTGTAGTAAAAAAATGAGTGGCATTTTTTTCCTTTAAAAAAACGGTTATATATAATGTTGTAACATTTTTTGTTTCGCATGGATCTCGGCTTGGATAAATGATGAAAGCTTGAATCTTTTCCAAAAGATGTGTCGTGGAAAACTCTACAAAAGCTATATGATCGAATTTCTTCTTTACCCGTTCTAATATTTTTTTCATACTCAAAATGAACAACTTACATGTTAGTGTCGACAGTAATGTTGCTTTCCATCATATTTTAAATATTTTGAGGTCATTTCTAATTCACGATCGGGTTGATGTATGCAAGTTTTTTAGAGCTTTCGATGGCACATCTTTTAAGAAAAATTTAATATTCCATTATTTTCTCAAATTGGCATATATGGAGAACGAAAATCTTCCAAAATTTTCAGTACGATCGGCAGTGACATTGCCATGTAAGCTATTCATTGTGAGTATAAGAAAAGCTACTAGAACAGGTAAAGAGAAATTCGGTCAGTACAGCTTTTGCAGAGCTTTCCAAGGTACATCTTTTGAAAAAAAAAATCAAGGTTTTATCATTTACCTAACCCGAAATAAATGCAAAATAAAAAAATGTTACAACATTACAGACATGTGATTTTGTAGTAAAAATAAAAAATGTCACTTCTTTTTTAAATACATTGTTTACAGTTCGAGCTGCATTTGATGTTCATTGTAAATATACCAAAAGATGCAGCGTGTTCTGGGCTTTCTTCCTATATATAGTAATAAAAAACGAAAAAAATCGAAGTGGAGAAACTGAATTTTCGTGGACTGTATTATTGCAGACGCTTCAGGTTTTTCTTATCAAAATATGTTGGACGACCATTCCTTGGACGATCTTCGAATGGTAGATCAATATCACAGTGTTTTATTATATTAAAAATTGTTGATCTTTTAAAACCTTCTTGCATAAAACGTTTTATTATATCACTTTTTTTCAAATTATTTTGCCGTCCAAGCATAGAAAATACACGTTTCCGCAGATCGATCATTTTGACAACAATAGATCAATCGAAAAATATCAAATTAATATGACAGATAGAAGCAACGGGAAAAAGAGCGGATCCTGGATCCTCGGATCCTATAGATCCTATGGATTCTACAGATCCTTTGGGATCCTCTTGGATCCTTTTGGATCCTTTGGATTCTTTTGGATCCTCTGAGTTTCTATGGCTTCTCTCAGAATCCTTTGGATCCTAGGATCTGAAAGGATCCGCTTTTCCCCCCTTGAGTGCATCTGTGCTGAATAAAATAATTGATTTTTTAAGACCATGGACTTATGTAATGAAACATATTCAATCATCGCAAGTACCATCAATTCATACGGTTACATCAAATATATTTGTAATAAATTCCTCCTTAGAAACAAAGCCAAATGATTATAAAGAAGAAAAAGGTCGATGATTTCAATTTTCTTTATCTACTTTTTCTAAATAATTTTTTTTTCAGATATTGGTTTTTGTGTCAACAAGCAAAACAAGTGATCAAAGAAATAGTTTCTTTCAATCCCATACATCTCACGGAAACTTTCTTCAATCCTAAAACACGAAAAATGAAGCATCTGTCAGCAAAACAAAGGGAAGAATGTATTGAATATGTAAAACGAAAAATATTATTTTTTGATATTGATCATCATGTTAAATCACCTTCAAGCAAGAAGCCAGTTTCATTATCAACAAGTACCTCATCTATATATATCACAGATTTTTATTTAAATACAGAAATATATGACGGAGACTATGCTGATCAATTTCATTCATCAGAAGCTTTATCAGATATAATCGAAATTGACTTATATTTAAAGCATGGCACAGATAAAACGACATCAGTAACGAATTCTGGTCAAGAAGTTGAAAAATATAATCCATTATGATTTTGGAAGAAGAAACAGGATTCTCATCCTACTTTGGCGAAGACTGCTGCTCATGTTTTAGCTGTACCAGCTACCAATGCAGCTGTTAAAAGCGAATTCAGTTCTGCTAGTAATATTATTACACAAAAGCGCTCAAAATTATCAGCAAATGCAGTGAATGATATTCTTTTCAATCATTCATACAATATATGCGAACAAAGATTTAATAGTACAAGTAATAATAAGTTTAATAAAATGTAGTATTGTTTTCACTTTTTAAATAATTGTAGTGATTATTTTTTACTTAATGTAGATAAGTTCAAAATATATATGAATTATATCTGGAAGATCAGGTGATAAAAAAGGCAAATATTCTAGTGACTGTAACGGAAAATTGAGAATAAGCGAAAGATATGATGCAGAAAGACTGATGGCCGCATTGTTGGATCACATATTTTAAGGGGTTGCCTTGTTTATTGTTTCTTCAAGCTCATTTCCGTTACTGATTGTACATGATTTTATTTCTCTCTCAATATTAACACACATTATACCTCTCTATATGACCTTGACACCGGTTACATATATCATCCAACAAAGATGTGTAACGTCGAGTATGTTGTATTCTTCACACTGCGCAATATTCATTGAGAATATTCTCGACTGTTCTCTTCTCTTCGTTCTCCTTCTCAATGATTTGTCCTTGCATCGGTTTAATGTGGTAGTCTCTCGGCGTGAAAAGAGAACGATCAGCATATATACAGTGAATAGCGCAGCGATTACAAAGGTATTGAAAAAGTATTGAACACTATGAATACTATTACGTAAGGATGCAAGGTTGACATCATACAAGAATGATATGAAGTAAGAGTGAAATAACGTAAGGATGATATCACATGCTGATGATAGCATGTCACATCGATGTATCTCTTGGCACAGTGATTTCCTAAGTTGCCAAGAGTTTTTATTTATTTGAATTTTCTTCGATTTGGTTCAGTTTCAAATTTTTGAAAAAAGGGATCGATTCGGTTCAAGAAAAAGACGAACCGCTTCCATCACTGTCCATGACCAGATTAAAAGTGTAATGCATCGAAGTTGTTGAAAACCTGAGATCAAAGCATTATATTGCTTATAAAAACGTTTCAAAATAAGTTTGGCTTATGCGCATTCATCAATATACATCAATCGTATAAGCATGATATTTTAAGGACGTACAAATTTTGTTTAGAAAACGTATTATTGCCGTTTGCGTCGTTGTGTATCACATCTTTCAAAACACTAAATCGACGGCAATAGAAAGACAAAAAAAATGCACAACAATAATGTACCCTATACAATGGATTTGTTTTTTGTTTACTCTGTCGGTGTACAGAATCAAGTAAATACTTTCGGTGCGTTGCTCATGGTATGTACAAGGAAAGTAAAGGTATTCGAAGGTCCCATGCTTTTTCATATTTCTTGATTTGTCAAGCAAAAAAACGAAATAAGATTTTTCTTTTTTCATCGGCCAATATCCGTTGTTTCATACTATGTTCCATATAAAGATAACCGATTTTGGATGTTATCTCGAAGTTAGGAGGTTTTTTTCGTCGTGAAAACACTCGATTT